CGTGATTAGCTGTTGGCGCTTTCCAGTTTTTCATTTACTTGAGTTTAATACCATTTCGTTTTGTTAAAAAATGAAGACTATTGTATCGAAGCTAAAGAAGTTGATTTTATTTCTACCCACATTTATATTGGAAGTTCTTGCCGTAGTCGTCTTCTTTTTTTGTGTGTGGATTTTTCGGTGTCCAAAATTTCATTTCATTTCATTCTGTTTTTTTTCTTTTCTTTTCCTGAAACAAATCTTCACCAAAATCCACGCTTCTTCTCGTTAGAAAAATAAATACGTTTTGTTTTTTCAGCTTAATTTATCATTCAACTTCTTTTATTTCAACGTTTTCTTGTTCTTCGCGATTTTTCTAATTTTTCTTCAACCTTTTGAAAACTTCATTGTTATTTGTTTTTGTTTTCATTAAAAACAAAAATAAAAGAAAGAACTTTGAGATAAAAATAATTTTAGATTTAAGTTCAACTAACCTTATTTCTGTAGAGATTTCTTCACTTTGTTTTTGCATCAACCGTCTGAAGTTCCTACCACAGGGAAAATGGTTGATATATAATGCGTAATCTAAATTTATCGGATTTGCGGGTTTATTCTTGTTAAACACCAACGACGGAAATGACGTAACACGCCACAGTGAAAAACGAAGCTTCGAGTTAGAAACCCTTTTAAGTGCTTCATTAGCTCCGAGGAATTATTAAGCCTTATTCTCTCAGCAAGTTTTTCGCAAATAATGTACTAGAATTGTTTCTAGTTTCTTCTTGTTAGTTTGCGTGCGTGTGTTTCTATGGAATTGCCTGACTACATTATTATTATCAAGATGCAGTTTATTAATATTCATGATATAATTATCTATTTCATTATTAAAAACTCAAACCTCTGGATAAATCATCTCAATACGTTAAACTTAAAACAAAACGAATAAAATTTAAATTCGGATTTTCTCGTCAAAAAATACGTAAAGTGAAAATACGAAATTTAGATGAGAGGCTACATTTAACTAGCTTTGAGTGGAATGTTTTCCCATTTCATTATTTAGAAACGGCCTTTTGGAGAGTTTTCGGTTCGCTAAAAGGGGTAAAGATAAAACGATCGCACGAACGAACGAGGGAAAGAAGAAAAACTTGCAGTCGAATAGAAGAAGCTGGTTTAAAGATCGAGAGGTCGAGCGATAAACGAACTAAAGAAATGGCATCCTGACTTAAAAAAATAGGAAAATACGAAAATCATTTGTTACACATCTCTTGAGATAACAAGTCCAATATTTAAAAAAAGTGTAACAGTTCCTAGCCCTAAATGATAGGCGCTGCACCCTATATTCTAAGCATTCAATTTAAAACGGAATGACGTATTAGGTTATTGGCAAGTTTACCATTAACCATTTTCTTCTAAATAACAACAACGTTTTAATAACGTAGTTTTTATTGTTTTTGGTGTAATGACAACGGATGTTTAGACTATTTTGGAGGAGAGACTTCTCTTTGAGTTTAAAAAAATTGTGCTAGCATAAAACTACTTTGTTATAGATTCCCCAATAGGAAAGAAAGAAAGTAGGTAGTCGGGGATGGGTGAGAGAATGGGAGAGCAAGTGAAAGAGTGAATGAATGAATAAAAAGATAAATGGATGAATGAAGGACAATGGAACTTTAAAGAAGATATTAAATTTCTTTTTCTTTTTTTTCTTTTTTTTTAATTTTTTTTTAGATCTTTCAGGTCCTGTGTGTATTTCATGTAGTGTTCGCGGCGAAGCTAAAGTTTATCTTTTGGATATCAATAAAAAGGAAATGAGTACTTTAGACGCCCATGTGAGTACCACATGGAGCCCAATCACATCAAACATTAGAATTATCCATGTTGTGAATATGTTGCTTTACAAATTCGTGTCATATTATTGATGATGCTGCTGGTGATGGTGGTGATGATGTACATAATGATGGTGATGATGATACAGGACGATAATTATGATTGAGATGCATGATTGAGCTGATGATGGTGATACATGATGATGGATGATATAAATGATGATGATTACATGATGATGATGATTATACATATTGTTGATAACGATGATGCATGATGATGCATGGTGGGGATGATGTTGATGATGCTTGATGTAAATGATAATCATGATACATAATGATGATGTTGGACATGTTGATGATGTAGATGGTAATGATGAAAATACATGACGATAATGATAGTGATGATGATACATGGTGGAAATGATGCTGATGCATGGTGATGATGATACATGATAATAGCGATGATGATTATACATGGTGATGGTGACGATCATGATGACACTACCAATAATCATAACATTGGATGTGACGGTATTAATATTTTTACTCATTTCCACCCTATCGCCCTTCTATTAGATCAATTCTCGTATACTATGTACTGATGTACTAGAAGACGGTACGGTTCTGATTGGTACGGTATTTTGGTGTGTGTATGCCTTTAATATTGAATCTAGGTAAGTCACCAACACAATTATTACGACTTTGCACTCAATGTAGCTCAGACTGCTTCTCAATAAGATTATATAAGGTTTTTGCACCATCATGTGACGGCAGCCATGTTAGATGGCAGGAACAATACAATTGTTTTACATGAGAAAGAATTCAATTCCCGGAGTAAAGGGATTTTTTAAAGCCCGCGCGCGTTGCTTTGGAACAGAACAATCATAATTAACCGGAATAAAACAGCTTTTCCGTTCTCCGTAGGCGAGTGCTTTTCACACTTCTTAAGTGCTTTCGGCGTTTCCTAAGAAAAAAGAAAGACGGTCGCAGGATCCGATAGCAGCACTTCACGTGCTCGGATGGCGTCAGCAATGTGCTCCGTTCACTAATAAAGCACAATTTTCGACCAATCAGCGCGCGCGTACTATCCTAACTATATAATAAACAGAAATAAAAGTGTGTCCGGTTTTGGACTATTACTGCACAGCCATTAAAGTGCTTATAAGCAATTACACAATATTTTCAGAATCGAGTCTTTAAATAGTGAATAGTTGATTGTGAAAATAATTCGTCATTTGAACGTCGGGTCTTTAAGATACGAAGGTTTATATTTCCAATATGTCAATGAATATGACGTAACATAAGGGATTTGAGTTATTTTGTGGCAACTTTTAATATTGAACGCTGGACATTTTGTGAAAACAAATTTGTAAGAACCTTTACGTGAGTCACGAGTAAAAGGGTGATGCTTTTAAAATACTGTATTCCAGAACGAGTGCAGTGTTGTATATTAAATGATCCCTTATGTTACGTCATAGTCATTAACATATTGGGAATGTAAACCTTCGTATCTTAAAGACCCGACATTCAAATGACGAAATATTTTCACAATCAACTATCCACTATCTAAAGAATCAATTCTGAAAATATTGTGTAAAAGCTTATAAGTACTTTAAACTAATCATAGAAATAATACTCTAAGGAATGACGTGGTCTAAAATGGGAGATTATCATATGACCCGTACGGCCCTGCTCGCGCGCTCTAATAAAACCATTGGAAAAAGTCACGTGATGGGGGCCGGACGGGTTGACGTAAGCGGGCCGGAAAAACCCGTCCGGCCCTGCTCAAAATCCGCGCGCTTTCTTTTTTTTGATTATTTTTATTTTCGTGAGGGTCATATGATAAAATGCTTATTGACTGAGTTAGGTCGGGCCGTACGGGAAAAAATTTGGCTCTCGGTCATTCGTACGGACCTCGCTGCGCTCGGTTGTTACGACATCACCTCGAGCCAAATATTTTCCCGTACGGCCCTCCCACTCAGTCAATAAGTACATATTATTACACCCAAGCTAAAGAGGCATTTTCCTGGTGTCGTTATAGAATGGAGCTCTGGAGTGTACCCCTAAGAGATTCCGTCATCGACTTGTGTCACTATGATCACGTGACAGACGACAAAGTGTATGCCGCATTGGCTGATGGGTGCATAGCCGTTCTTCCGGTAAGCCTTAGTGTTGACGCGCTTTCGTTTTTGACGTTACATTTATTCGTTTCGATTCAAAGCGATTATAGCGGTAGAAAAACTAGAAAATTACAAAAATAAAGTGTCAGTACTAGAAACAAAAAATGGAAAAGCTAAGAAAGAAGAAAAAAGGGTTACTTACATCTGTTTCCTACGGTATACTCGACGACTAATAAAATATTCAAAAAACCGAACTTAACTAGTAAAACTAAACAAAAGAAGGATTAAAGTGAAAAGAAAAAATACTCAAGGGAGAAAATAATAACGTTACTTAGTGAGCTCAAGTTTGTATAAACATTGTTCGTGTATTATTAATGTTCTTTTCAGTTCTGCTGCAACAGTTAGATTTAGATATTTACCTCTACCTTTTCTTCCACAAAGGCGATATTTTCAATTGAAATTATTCACAACCTTGTTTCCTTAAGCGCGCACATACTCTGGACGAATCCGTGATTTACGAGAGAGCATTTGTTTCTGAATACCTTGCCGTATATACCTATTTCAAAAAGGTTGTCACCGGCAATAGGCGAAAAGCAATAGGAGATAGGTACTTCCAAGATCCAAGAGTAACTGGAATGACTTGTGTTTCTCGTTTCGGGGCAGCGCCCGCCTGGACCTAGAGTCCTTTCGCTTCCCTGTTAAAGCTATTAAATAAAATAATAATAATAAAAAGAACATGGACCTTAGTGTTGAGACTGTTTTAATGTTCTTTGTATTTAACGAAAACCATTTCCATGTCGGAATGACTTATTGCCTATCGCCTTTGGCGTTTTTTGAAATAGGTGTATATTTACTAAGGGACCGGTCATTATTTATCCCCTGGGGGAGGGGAAAGGAGGAATTTTTTTGCAACATCATAAAGATCCATAAATCCATGATCTTTTTTCTGTTTCCCTTCTTTCTGGATGATATTGAGTTACCCCGCTTTTGTTGCTTGTCAATTTTAGCGGATCAGTTGTCTACAAACCATAACTCCCTCCCTAAATTCCCCACCCCCACCCCACCTCTCCAAATATTAACCGGTTCCTAAATTTAATGAGTGCCGTATCTGTGTCAGAATGCTAATGGTTCAGGTCCACCGTGCCAAGGATCGCACGTTCGTATTGGTTCAGCTCCTGTGATGTGTGTGACCATGGTGGACAGTCAAGTCTGGTGTGGATGCGGTAACAATGTGGTAGTGCTTGATGCAAGGTAATGGGAGTTCTATATTGAGAATTATTATAGTAAGCGTTGCATTATGACAATGATAATATTAAAAGCCTTGCAACAGTTTTTAGGAAAGTTAATCCTTTATAACGAGAGGTGACGATTTTAGTTAGTCCGAAGAACGTAAGAATGATTGATGAACCCAAAGTGCAGTTTAGCAATTTGAAAGTGAATTTGTTTTGCTCTGAATGTAAGTTTTGACTATACCTTATTTCTTTATGTTATGTTCTTGAAAGCATTGTTCCCTTTGTTCTATTCCATGCACGTTCGATCGGTTCTCGATCGGGTTTTCCTCCTCCATCAAATTATGAAAAATATTGTCATTTAAGAGTTCCACACAAAGAATAAGCAGGTGATTTGTACAGCCGTTCGTAAGTTAGTAAACAAGGCACCCTGCCTGTATGGGAATTGAATCTTCCTCAATAAATAGTTAATGGAACTTTTGATAAGTTTTGGGCTCTAATCATGCGAAAACTGTATTTACTTAAAACAAAATTCCTCCAGATGGTTTATCTGCGATCTTATATGCAATATCGAGAAAAATTACCTCTGGGCTGAACAAAGTGAAGGCATGGTTAACTCACAGAGCAAATTGGACGTTTGCATGATGGCGTCATTTGACTCCCACTACCAAGATGCTTCGCAAATTTTCTTTCTTATTTAAATTTGTATTCCCTCATGAGAATAGTAAGACAATTGGTGCTAAGTAACTGAACAAAAGAAAGTGTGCAAGGAAGTCTGGTAGTAGAGGTCAATAACGCCATCGTGCAAACGTCCTATTGGAATTTGCTTGTTCCGTTTTGCGGAGGGCGGAAAATTGTAGAACCCGGAGAGAAACCCCTTGAAACTCTGCTTAAATGTGATGCCGAGTCTGTGAATCGAATCCCTACTCCAGAGATGAGAGACGAATGCACTATCACTACGTTTCAGATGTCGGTAGATACTGACTAAACATTTTGTTTGACGAAAATGAATGGGAAATAGGGAAATGACTCTGAAAATAAAAAATAAAAATGTGATTTAAAGCCGACAAATTGGCTTGCAATTTCAATTGAATTTGGTCGAATTTGTCTCATAAATGACTAACTACGAATGCAAAGAAATACATAAGTAATATGTGGTGGACTGGATTTCTAGTAAATAATAGTATTCATGAGCGAATCCAAAAATATATCTACAATTTTAGTTCCCTGCTAGAATAGTCTCCCTCGTTGGCGATACTTGGCAGAGAAAAATAGGAGACTCTGCCTATGTAGGTCGTTTTCTTTGATATACCGCCGTCCACGATTGTGGACTAACCAAACAAGATTCCCATTTTCTCTGCCACGAATCGTCAACAAGGGAGACTCTGCTATATTAGGGAATAATTTTAGATAACTTCGTTTCGAATTCCTGGTGTTTCTTCTTTATGTTTCTACACGATTTGTGTATCAGTTGTTTTTTTACAGACAATTTTCGACACGTTTCGCCGGTTTCGATGTGATACAGTGATACTAACCTACGCCCCAAAGCACCTCCATTTACGTCGCGATTCAGTAATTAGACGTTTTCTAAAGGCTCTCCAATTAACCCCGCTAATATAAGCCTTGTAATTACAGGTGTCGAGAGGCGATTTCAATAGGATATTGAGAATGGTTGATTAAAACACACCATTTGAAGGGTTTAGAAGCTACACAATTGAAATTGTGTACTAAAAATGTCGTCTCAGATCCTTATCCACCAAGACGTTTTAATATAATTGAATTTTTTTCAGGATTGATATTTCGGACACGCGACGAGATTTGCCATATACAGGCATCCCAGACCTCCTATATATCCTATATTTCCTATAATTTGTATAGGATCCTATAAAGAGCCTACATTTACAGAAAACCTCCTATAGTTCCTATAAATAGGACGACTGCTGATTGATACATTTATATTTTACACTGTTTAGCATATTTGGCGAAGGCCCTTTTTTTTTTTTTTGGTTCTGTTTTTTTTTTTCTCATTGCCTATGCACCCTCCCGATCCCTGGTTACGCCACCGAAAAGCTATCTTAGCTCCTATAAAGTGCATATATTTTTGGGAATAAATCCTATATTTTCCTATATTTAGAACTTGCACAGCCTATATTTCCTATCAAATTTGCCTAAAAAGTGGCTGGGATGCCTGCATATATCAAACGGCGGAGGAAAAGAAGCAGTTTGTGCAAACCAGAAAAATAAAAATTTGAATTTAAAATTTCGATCGATTTTCACTCCCAAAAGTTCTTATCTTGTTTGCGCAAACCAGACAAAAAAAAAAAGAAATTTGAATTTAAAATTTCGATGGATTTTCCAAAAAATTTTCAAGCTGTTTGTTTAGACAGTAATTTGACTTCAACACGAAGATTAATGTATTTGATTAATATTAGTTTTATATAAATTTTATGCCTCAAACCAATGTTAGTTCAAGTAGCAACGTTTTTAACAGTATCAAAAGTATGTTAACATTTAAAAGGTATGTAATAATTATTAGTGAAAGATGTAATAATTGAAGTGAAATATCAGGAGATTCGTGTTCTCTGAAATCGTGTAATTTTTTCAATATATATTTTTGCGCGCGAGCGTAGAGTAAAGGAGAAAAGTGGATCATTACGAATCCTGCATTCTGATTGGCTTATCATTACCATAGCAATATTTCTAAAAAACAAATAGTCGAAACAATTCGCGTTGGCTTCGCTTTTTGCTAAGGTTTCGGAAAATTGTAGAGATTTTAGTCCACGTACTTAGACAGGGACAGACCTCGCATTATAATCCATTTATATCATGGCTATCATATATATATATTAGTGGCACAAGTCGTATAAGATTTTTATAGTTAAAAATGATTTTTTTCCTTTTTTTTTTCTTTCTTTTTTTTTCTTTCTATTTATTATATACACTTATTTCATTTAAGTTAGTCAACAAAAACCTAGAAAGCTGAGATCACTGAGCATCATGGGAAACTTTTCATATCAAAAAAGCATACATATACAAAGCTATTATCGCTATATAAATTATGAATTATAATTTTTTTTTTATAAAGAGATTCTTTAAAATTCTTTACAAATTTATGATTTTTGGAGGTAAGATTTAAGCTTTTTCACGCCAATGTCAGAATTCACTTGCTATTCTATGATAACGAGTAATAGTTATATAAGTGAACAAAGCAAAAATAAATAATGTACAAGAGAAAAAGAAACAAGTTCACTTACCTAGAAAAGTCGATGAAAGACTTCGACAAACCGTTTTACTTCAGTGTAGCTTTCCAAAGATTAGGACGAAAAATTATCGAAAAGGGGTTTCTCAAACCAAGAAAATTCAAAACTGAGAATTGGTCTTAAAATCCTTAAACGTTGTGGTCTTGCTCTTGCATCTTGTCGCTCTGAAAAGGTGAACTTGAGCACGAATTTAAGCTCTTTTGAATGAACCACTTAAAACAACTACATTCTTAGAAGATGAAAAGTCTTTATTAAATTCATTTGTAATTTCCTACACCCAAAATTAACTGTTTCCTAGAACGTCAAAAAGGTTGTTTTAAATATCCTCAACTCTGCTAATGCAAGCCTTGTTCTCTAATCGCTAGTGTTATCAAGAGAGCGAAAATAATATTTATGCTCTCTTGATATTATCTAGTAATTCCTTCAATTAAAACAAGATAGATAGGTCTTAAGTGCTTTTTAAGATTCTAGTCCTGATAATTTCCCCCCTAGTTCTCTAAGGTCGGAAAAAACTCCAAACTTTTTGTTTTTGAAAAATTAATCAGTTAAGAAGAATTTATTTCGACAACATTCATTTCATTTTTATTACTTTATGAAAAACTTTGAAGCTTTTTTTCCATAATTAAAATTAAAATTAAAGTCACGTGTCGAGGAAAAGAAACTCAACGTGCTCTGCAATTTCGATGTTATTGATATATCTTATTTTTTTGGAGTTCATTGTTTTTCCTAGGAAATGAAATAAAGAAAAACTAATGAATACTTTCGTATAAAGACTTTAATTTTAATTTATATTTTTCTTCAAAGTGAGAATTTTTTCATGCTTCGCGTATTTTCTACTCCCCCTTCATTTCCTATAAGCGGTAATTGATAATAATAATATTTTCTCAAAGCTTATATTTATGCTGGTTTTTAATATCTCAGACGGCACCTACAATTCTTAAATACTAACCATTCACTTTTTTCCTGTCTCATTCGTTTTGTATAAATCAAATATTTTTGTTGACTTAATTTTTAATATTTTATAGTTTATTGAAGCCTTAGTTAAAACACTATGTCTGAAATACCCACTGCATGGGCTCTGCGTGGGCTCTGCAGGATACTTCATAAACTAACATTGTTCTACGATTTAAAGACGTTACATAGCTAAATTGCATTTGTTTGCATAAGATTATATGCAATTTAGATTACATAACATGCGGTACGAATGCGGAAAAACGTGTTGGGGAAACGTTTTTTTTTTTTTGCTAAAATTGAATTCTAAATAATAAACTTACTTGGGATGGAACAATTGTTATTATAACGTTACTACCACCTGCCTTACCTAAAACCCGTATTTGTCGTTTTCGTTTGTTAATTTTTTTCTTTCAATTATTTGGCAAATAAAATATTTATTATACAGAGCACGAAGGGGAAGAAAAAGTAAATGAAAATAACTACAGGAAAAAGAAACGCACGTACACGTTGCGACAACTGACCCACGACACTGAAATGGCTTTCCATTGCTGTTACGACATGCACCAGCTCTGAAATGGCTTTCCTTTCCATTGCTTTTATGACACCCCACAGCACTGAAATGGCTTTCCTTTACAATTACGAAACATGCATCCCAACACTGAAATGGCTATTAATTGCCATTACGACACCACACAACACAGAAATAAGGCTTTCCATTGCTATTGCGGCACACCCCAGAACGGAAATGGCTTTCCATATTTGCTATTTTATTGGGAGTCAAAAATTTCTCGTTATTTACTTAAATGAATAATAGAGGTCTTTCATGCCGGCCAAATGGTATGGCAAAATAAAAAAATGCTCTGCTTTGGAAAATGTCTTGTCGTAAGAATTAATATTGCATGCATTTATCCTGCCCTAAATGTACTACGACATCAAGTGACTGCCATAAAAGACCTCTTCCACTTTGGCGTAATGTTTTCTCATCTTGAACCGTTCCATTTTATTCGTTTCCTTCACAATAAGTACATTGTTTTATTATCCTTATAAATTTATTAATTAAAGCCTAGGGCAAACGAACTTTCCATGCACCGAACTCATTAAAAACAATGGATATCAGGTGATAATGAGGCGGCATTCTTTGATGTAATTAGGTTCGGTGCATGGAAAGTTCGACGTTTGCCCTAGGCCTAACTGGAGTTTTTTTCTGCTAAAAATGCAATATTTTTTTTAAGAGAATGTCCCAGAATGCTGGGATTATTTTTATTTCACTGATATCTTTCGTACGCAGTTCCCTGGAAGAACTTCATGCCACGGTCGTATCGTCTTCACCTCGTCACCAGGTCGCTCGCCTGCTCGAGGGTAATCATGGGGTATGGTGCACTATACGAGGGTAAGAAGAATTTCAATACAAATAATTTTTTTCTAAAATAAAGTAAAAAGTATGCGTGGGGAACATAAGGCACTGCCTTAGAGCAGGTACGCAGCACGACATGCCGTAACACTGAAATGGCTTCCAATGGACCCTTCTCAAAAATTATCTTGGATTCGAGGCTAACACGAAAACACAAAAGAAATCACTCCTTTTCTCGATGGAGTTTGTGGCATTTCTTTTGTATTTCCGTGCATCCAAGATAATAGCGCAGCGCAGCCATGACGTCATAAAAACGAAGACAAAGGCGAAATTCGGACAAACAAACTTACAAGTTTACTTTCAGCTAATAATTTTCACAGCCGATCGCAGTTGATCTTAGTTTACATGGGTTATTATCGTAACTTTAAGTAAAAATAATAAAATCGGTTCGTATAATCCTCGTAGCGGTTAAACAGAATGCAATGTTTGTCCGAATCTTTAAGCTATTTTTATAATCAGCGCGCTGCGCTATTTTGAGGAGGGGCCATTTTCTTTCAGTAATTCATTCCATTACATCGTGTAGTAAAGGCTACTGTAAGATGCAGTACGGCTATAGTATGCCGGGCTAAGAATTTTCCGTATCGTTTCCCACTCATACGAAAACCACTGTAATGTGGACTTCATGAGCAGTTTGGAGCTTGTGTCATTAGATATGAATTATTCATTTCAGATCATCGTGGGTAATGCTGATAGACCAGAATTCCTACGATTTCTTGCTGAAAATCGATGTTGCTCTTGACACGACAATTATAGATGCTGTTAGCGAATCTCAAGTAAGTCATGATAACGTTCGATTTTTATAGGGCAATAGAGAAACGCATGGAAGTTATGTTGATTTAAATCACAATAGAAGCTATAGAGCGTTTTCACGTGACGTCACAGCGGCCATAATATTGGTGTACCAACACAATACATGTTCTATCCTCCAGGAATTGAACTCTATTTTTATGAAAAATCTGTGCAGAAAGTTTCAGTTGTTTGATACACCAATATGGCTGCCTTGTCACGTTAGCGAAAACACTCTGTAGAAAAAACTTTGGTTGACGATCCTCCGTCATGGCGACAATGACGTCACGCATACTAAGAACCTCGAATATCTCATCATCTGCTACTGACGAACCGCCTGCTTGTTTCGTTCAAAGGTTTACGTATCTCCATTTCAAGAATCCCGAGTTACGACCATCATGCCATTCGCTGACGAATTATGGGTAGGATTGGGTAACGGTCAAGTGCTGATATTTGATTTGATCGAAAGCGAAACCCCAAGCAAAGAAGGGGATTTGGTAGAGAGCTGTGATTCAAATGACGAAGACACACCAACCGGTAAAACCAGTTAAACGGGATTTTATTACAGTACACTAATTTTGTTTGACCTTATGAACGGTGTATCATAATGATGATACATAGATTAAGTCATAGATGAAAACATGTTAATATCATAACACGGAGAAACACGGCCAACATTTAGGCAACAAAAAAGCTTGCCTAGACAAAACGCCCTGTATTTTTACGAGTTGCCGTTCTTTCATTTTATTTTTGCGCGATTTCCCCGCCCCATATTTTGCCGGCTTGTTTATAAGTTAATTTTCTCTTCCTCGGCTGTTTTCTAGTTTATTGGCTGTTAAATTTCTAAACTGTTTTATTTAGCTTCAACAGAAGAAGAAGAAGAAGAAATTCCAAATGACAAAAGCAAGAGTCAGACGGCCTCTAATCCACGATTCAGTCGCGAGGGAACAGAAGTATTTGACAAAGCAAGCAGCGAGTATCAGTTTTCTTTGAAAATGAGAGTACAATACAGAGTCAGCGAAGAACCCATTCGATCACTCGAGATTTTAAGGTAAATGAAAAAAATCGTTAGTTTATGATATCGGTTGACATATTTAACTGAAGTCTGGGCAAATGTTGCTCTTATTACAACTTTGCACCTAATAAATTTTCTTTACTGCACGAAGTCAGTAAAAGCTGTCTAGTACTCGTCACGCAAATGAGAAATTTTAGTGGTAAACTGTAACAAGGAATTTTCATCTTGTGACGCAACAAAAATACGCGGTAACTCCCACACTAGTTTGTTTCCCCTATCATCGTATTTTAACTTGGCCTAAAACTCGAACCACCCGTTCAAAGAAGATTTTACTCAACAGAGAAACTGAAGATCCAATGGTCCTGAGCTGTGCCAGCACGCTAAGCCCCGAAGGAGGTCTTTCTATTTGGCAAAAACACGCCACCCAAGATGTGAGTAATTCGCTAAAGATTACATTTCTTTTATTTTTTATTTATTTATTTATTTATTTATTTATTTATATATTGTTTTGTACTATTCAATGTGTTTTTTAAAAGTTGACTTCCGGCTGCAATTACATCCGGCGAATTTTTGGCGGGAAAATCTCGTAAAAGCCCACCGCGCGCTTGGCTCTTTTCTCTTATTTCGCGCCAAATTCATCCTGGAGTCTAAATGAATTTCGTTTAAAATCAGTTCTTTATAAGTTTTCCTTAGGTTCATACTGGATATACTTTTATAATTCAGTTCCTTTGTAGATTCATTGTGAGTCTACATTTTGAATGGTCTGAAATTTTTATAAAATTTATCTTATTTGCTCTTCTAAATTCGCCAAACGAGAAGCTCTTTAAAACGGAAAACGCATCAAAATATACGTTAGTCAAGTAAGTGTGAGTATTCCAGTTATATTGTGGTCTTTCTTTTTCAGGACTTATATGAATGGTTGAATTATCCTATTAGACATTCTCAGGCTTAAGATGAATAAGCCAAGGGATAAAGAAGACCCAATGATATTGTAGTTTTGTTAGGTACCAGATATCAGTGCAGACTTTTTGACTCTTATATCTACAGTTAGTCTTGGTATATCTTATTACCCATTCAGACTATGTTATCCATGTTATTATGGAATTAAGGATGCTGTAATGGTAGTCGACCTGCCTCTGTCTGGGGTATCACGTTCACTAAATTCCAATTCGATCTGTGTATTAGCAGTGCCCACAGAGGTTGTTTCAGGGATCTATCTGTGAGTACAATTAGCCATGTCCTGACTTAGATCAGCCCAGCAATTGTTTCAGGGATCAATCTGTGAGTTAGCTATGCCCTGACTTTGTCTGGCCCAGCGATTGTTTCAGGGTTCAATCTATGAGTTAGCCATGCCCTGACTTTGATCAATCCAGCAGTTGTTTCAGGTTTCAAGGTGTAAGTTAGACATGCCCTGACTTTGATCAGCCCAGAGGTTGTTTCAGGCTTCAAGGTGTAAGCTAGCCATGCCCCGACTTTGATAAGCCCAAAGATTGTTTCAAGGTATCAATAAATTTTGAATTTACAGAATTTTTCCCTTGAGCTAATATTCCTTGAGTTTCTTCTTGTTTCTGGCAAACAAGGAAATTATACTCAAGGGAATGATACATTCTGAAAATTAAAAAAAAAACATTACACCCAGACAAAATGGGTCTACAATAAATAATGTATACCATAACATCATTGAAATATATCCATCATGATGTTGTATACAACATTTGAAAAAAGAAGTGAACAAATACTGTAGATATCCTCTTTTGACCCTGTCAAAGAACAGGAAAAGAAATGTTTCTCCCCAGGGAAGAAGGGGATAGGAAGTTTATGCTCACTTTTAAAAATTTTGGGGGGGGGGGTTGATTACCAACATGAAAAATGTTCAAAGACTACAGAGAAAACATTTATATTTTTTTAGTTGAATTTTAGTTGAATTCTTTATTAAATAGGAGTAAGAGCCTTGCGGGAAAGCATTCATGCTTTTAAGGTAGGGTGGGTTGTAATTGAATTGGTGTTCTGTGGGGGGTGCGGTAGTGAACTATTTTTGTACACCAACAAGTAGAAGGTGAAAAATGTTCTAGAGTTAAAATGATATTTAAGATAATGTAAAATGCTGGGATTTATGAGAAAATGCTGGGAATGAAAGAAAATAATTCTATTCTACCTCTCAGGAGAGTTATTTCATAATGCATTAGATTTTGTACAACAAAAGGATGAAACCTTTACTTTTATAAAAAAGGTGTTCATTAAGAAATGAATGCTTCCTTGCAAGAGTTACAGTACTCTTATAAATGTTTTCAATGAAAAAATAATAATCTATAGCTGATATCTTTAAGTCCAGGAAAAATTGCTATAACTATTATTAAGAAATTATTATAACTGAATACAGTAGAGTGCAACCATATATCTGTAAAATAGTACTAACTAATTAGTACAAAATAGCACCAATGCAACAACTGAAAGCAAAAGAAATAGATGTGTTTAGTTAATATCAAGTTTTTGTGCTAATAGTCCCCTTCACAGTTCCCTGTGCCATCTTGAAAGATAGCCGGGCCTTTGCATCGAAGCGAGACGAACAGTAGGCTTGCAATGATAGAGACCTTTTTTTAACACCTTGGACAATTATTCACAGGTCCCTATCATTGCAAGCTCACTGTTCGTCTCGCTTCGGTACAAAGGCCCAGCTACCTTTCAAGATGGCGCAGGGAACCGTGAAGGGGTCTATTCAGGGGTATATGATTTGCACTTTATAATTACTTTAAGTAATTTTTTTAGATTTTAGATTGTTATACATTCAGTTTTTCAATGGAAGAATTGAATAATTTTTTTGAAAATAAATGCAGCAACAAAATATTGTGATATACCTATTTTGTGAAAGCTTCTTTTGTATTTTCAAACTTTTATCGTTTTTCTAAAAAATCATCCAGTAAACTAATTTGTGGGAGAGTCACTTTCTTCCCTGATCCTTGGATATTGAAAGATTGCATATGCTTACACGTCCATGCTCACTCCAATGAACTGATTTCATATATAGACAGTTCTCGGGCCACCAAACCCTGACAGCTCCGTTAGATGATGCCATTATCATACATGGTTCTTTAGGATGGTAGGAGAATGAATGAAATACTGAAAGGTGTGTTTTATCTATAGTATGAATCACTTTGGCATTTATTCAGGCTCCCAGTTCTTGGGCCGCCAAACCTTGACAGCTCCGTCAGATGATGCCGTTATCATACATGGTTCTTTCAAATGGTAGAAGAATGAGTGAAATACTGAAAGGTGTGCTTTATCTATAGTATGAATCACTTTGGCATTTACTCCGGTTCCCAGTTCTTGGGCCGCCAAACCTTGACAGCTCCGTCAGATGATGCCGTTATCATACATGGTTCTTTAGGATGGTAGGAGAGTGAGTAACATACTGAGCGATGTGCCTTATCTATGGTATGTACCACCTTTGCTTCAATGAGATCCCAGTAATAAATATTACCATCTTCTGAGCCACTAATGATGTGGGTGTCTGTGTTTGTGAAGCAGCTGTCAACTTTGTAGTCCTTGTTCTTGTGTCCTTTGAACCTAAAAAAATAGTTTAACGTTGACATTAAGTCTGACAGTATGGTTCTGAGATACCATCCCCTTACCAATCAATGTTGCTGACCACTTGCCAGCCACCATATTTAACCCCCTAAATTATGGTTCAACTTTCTGCTAAGGCTGCATTCATAATGTATGGAGGAGGGGGGGGCAGGTGAAAATTTGAAATGTTCAGAATAATCTTTAACACCTCCCCCCCTAAAAGTCATGCAAAAAATACGATCCCCCCCTAAGCAAGGGTTGTAGCTTCTTCCAAAAATTGTGCATCCCCCCATTTTTCTGTTAAAGATTTGCCCAATCCCCCTCTTTTTCCTATCAAAATTTTCCCGATGATCCCCCTCAATTTCACCTGCCCATCCCTCTGTCATACATTATGAAGGCAGCCTAAATAACTACATATTGGTTTTCAAATAATAAATTAAAATCTTAATAACATACTCATTGAGAAGTTCTCCTGTTTCTTTGTCCAGCAGTCGTATGGTACTGTCCAGAGTCGATGACAATATACACTGGCTATCCTGGGAAATAGCCACACAAGTGACTGGCTCTCCAAGGAAGTCTACTACCAGTGATCCCATGCGTATGTCATACTTACGGATCTTGCAATCCACTGACCTGTAAATGTAAGTTTGTAAATAGTATTAGAAGTACAATTAAGAATTGTTATGAAATGATTTATAATTTTTTGTATTTTATCCTCTGACTCATTAGTATTGAAGAAATAGAAAATGTGCGTGTGTGCTGTGTGCAGTTATGAAGCACACGGGGGTTGGCAGAACACAAGAAAAGTGTTAGGAGAAGCACAACTTGTATTGGAGTGCTTCTCAACACTTCTCAAGTATTCTGCCAATCTCCAAGTGTTTCATAACTGCACACAACACAGCAAGCACGTTTTATTCTTCTCTTATAAAATACAAATTACAATAACCTTTATTTTTGGATAGGAATTGAATGATGTGACTGGAAGTACTTGCATGTGCTGTGTGCTCTCATAAAGCACATGCTTCAAACCAATCAAAACGTGAGATTTATAACAGTTATCATATAATGGTGTATAGAATAGTGACTTCCTGCCGAGCATTTGAGTTGTTTTACAGCAGCCATGTTAGGGGAAAGAATAGAAAATTTTATCTAAGGCGAAAATAAAATATCTTGTCATACAATCTCTTTTCATACAAAAACGTTTGCCATTCCTGCTATACAATATGGTTCCTGTGAAATCCCTCTTTTACATATGTGAATATTATGCTTGGGCGTAATGTGTTGCCAATTTGAGACCATGTGTCAAAGAGGTCTATTTGCTCAAATAATACTTTCTAACATAAATATAATGGAAAGCGTGTTTTACCCTGTGAGTATTTCATGCTGTGAGACTTGAAGTGTTGCAATACTGTCTTTAGCGTCATCAATGATTTGAATAGGATCTTGACTACGAGATCTAGTATCCCAGCACCTGACTGTAGCATCATATGAAGCAGACATGATCACTGTACTGTCAGGCTGGTTGAACTTGACAGCATTCACTTTCTAGAATAAACAACGACATAAATACTACTATTAATCAATACTGCACTTGCTTCTCATTATTATCATAATCATCATCGCCAGCAGCATTGTTATTACTTTGACGTCACCATCATCATTTTTGACATCAGCAACAGTAGTTTTATCACAAATATTATCTTCAACATCATCTTCATTACAATCATTTTCATTCACATCTTCACCGTCATCATCACCATCACTTTCATCATCATCATCGTTATTACCATTATCATCGTCATCATCATTCTCGTCACCACCATAATAAATTACTGACTCAGTGTGCAAACAGGCACAAGTATATTTCAAATACATATCTAATCGTGTCAATTTATAACTTACAGCAATATGTCCTCTGTATCTTCGTATCACTTGCCCTGTGCTGACATCCCATAACACTACCGTCCTGTCAGCACTACAACTAGCCAGCCTACCACTATCACCGGAAGCTACCACATCCAACACCTCATAACCATGGCCGCTGTATGTCTTAAGGAACTTTCCGCCCTCGCGATGTGGATTCCAAAGCTTTACGAGTTTATCACTTCCACATGTTATGCAGTAGTTTCCATCGGAGTTGAATCTCACGGCACGAACAGGCCCTTGATGTCCAGCTAGAAGAGCTGCTTCTTTACACGGTAAGTCATTATCCATAGTACTTCGTTATATATCGTTTACATATTATTAATGATTAAAAATTGGTATGTTTTAATGCGATTTTTGCCGATTTATAAAATTTCTTTTACTTCGTCCGCCATCTTGTTTTTCTGATTCCCTAAACATACCGCTGACTAAAAATCTCGGAAAATTTTTCAGAAATTCAACACAGGAACCCCAAGAAAGAAAACTTATCCTAAGCCTTCAGATACACTATAATTAATGTGTACTGAGAGACAATTTATTATTGACATATGAATTCCTTCCCTTACTTCGCCATCTTGTTTGATTCAGAATACTGTTAAACAAGCGTTGCTCTTTCAAACCTTTACAAAGGAAGCCCAACACCATAAACTTGAGTCGAACAGTTTTTTCAGTGTTTATTTTACTTTGATGTGTTTTACATTAGCATTATAGATATGAACATATCAATATTATTTGCAGCTTTAGCAAAAAATCATTATTTGATGATGCTTTGATCGATGATTGAAATATTCCAGAAAAAGCTGCATATGCAATATGGGTTTTACACCATCACGTGACGCGGCAGCCATGTTAGATAGGAACAATACAATCGTTTAACATGAAAAAGAATTAAATTCCTGAGGGTAAGAATTCAATTCCTGAGAGTAAAAAGGATTCTATTGTTCTGCCATCTAACCACAGGCAGCCCAAGCTGTATTATGGGCGTGTCTAACAGTCATTCGTCACTAAAGATTGGTTCTTCCAGCTCTAAAGAGGAAACAATCTATATATGCAGAGTTCTTCACTCATTCATTATGATTTTTAGCTATTTATATTGCGACTAGACTTTTTTTTAATTGCCATTGAGTAATACATATAAGGCAATTCTGCAAAGATTTGAACTAATTTGCGATTTCTTGCGACTTTTTTCTCGTGTTCCTTGTAATCGTCGTCGGTCTTTTGGTCAGACGTGAACTCACAGCATCARCTCATACATCATCTCGTCCTGTTTTTGGTGGCTACGGTTCTTGTGGTGTCTTCGATTCTTGTGGTGTCTTCGTCTCTTGTGGTGTCTTCGTCTCTTGTGGTGTCTTCGTCTCTTGTGGTGTCTGTGTTTGCGCCGCTTATTGTGCCTATATTTCCGTCCCTTTCTTTTGTCCTCTAAACTTTGTTCTTCAATTTCCTGGTCTTCTGCAACCTCTTCCCCATCAGAGTCACTGAGATGCTCATTTGAACGGTCGACTTGCCCATCCATGGAGTCTTCTGCCATTTTTGTTTCTTTATATTCTGAGTATCCTTTGAATGCATTTTGCCTCTCCACACCCACTTCGCTGTCGCTGCTGTCAATCTGGTCTTGTTTGTGATGCTTTCCGCGTCTTTGATGTCTTCGAAACTTGTGGTGTCTTCGATTCTTGTGGTGTCTTCGATTCTTGCGGTGTCTTCGATTCTTGTGGTGTCTTCGATTCTTGTGGTGTCTTCGTCTCTTGTGGTGTCTGTGTTTGCGTCGTTTGGGGTGCCTGTGTTTTCGTCCCCTCTTTTTGTCCTCTAAACTTTGTTCTTCAATTTCCTGATCTTCTGTAAGTTCTTCCCCTTCAGAGTCACTGAGAAGCTCATTTGGACGGTCGACTTGCCCTTCCATGTAGTCATCTGACATCTTTGTTTGTTCGTATTCTGAGTATCCTTTGAATTCATCTTGCGTTTGCACGCCCACGTCTTTGTCACTGCTGTCAATTTGGTCTTGTTTGTTATTTTTTCCACGTCTTTGATGTCTTCGATTCTTGCGGTGGTGTCTTCGTTTCTTATGGTGTCTTCGCCGTTTGTGGTGCCTGTGTCTCAGTCCCTTCCTCTTGTCCTCTAAACTTTGTCTCTCACTATCGTGGTTCTCTGGAACCTCCTCTCCTTCAATTTGACGCGGGTTATCATTTTGATGGCCAGCTTGGGTTTCCCTGAAATCAACTTTGATGGTTTCAACCTCTTCATATTTTGGTGGAATTTGGTCTATGGTTACCTCTCCATCATGATTATAAATTTCCTCTTCTTCATCCTCATGTTTTTTCCCTTTGTTATGATGGCGTGTCGAGTGCTTCCCCCTGTGGCGATGTCTCCTATCTTTCCCGTGTTTCCTATGTTTTCTGTGTTTTCGCATCTTTTTCCCATCCTCATCTTCATAATCACTAGAAAACTTTGATTCTTCTTCGACTGCTTTTACAGACACGCTATGTACAGCTGGAGCGATTTCTTTTTTTGGCAGGCTTGAAATTCCTATATTGACTTCAAGGAAGGTCCCAATGTCTTGATTTCGATTACCAGAGTTTCCTCCAGGTTTCTGCTCTGAAACTTGGATTACGCTGCCTTGAGCATCCTTTGCCATTGATGGCTCTGGTTGTGCATTATTTCCCCCGAGTGACTTTAGATCCTCATCGGCAACTGCTGCTTTGGCTTTTTCATTTACTTTTATTCCCTTCTCTTGTTGTTTTGGTTCAACGACTGTGTTAGGCTTGAAAGCAGACTGGGTAACTGCCTTGTCCTTGACCTCTTTGTCTTTCACAGAGTCTGGATTAGAGTTACCATTTTGTGCAGTCGCTTGGCCAAAGCTTATTTTAACAACTGGTAAAACTTTAACTTGGCTCTCCTTGATGTTAACTTTAACTTCCTCTTCTGGTTTGGCCAATGAGCTGCCAGAAACCTTAGGTGTGGCAGAAGATTTGTCTTCTTGTTTCACTGGCAGGTCTTTCTTTGCTTTTTCCATGACGAGGGCTTCTTGTGGTATTTTCACTGGACTGCTCTGTTGCTGTGCGATTCCGACAAGTGCATTTGGCTCTTGTTTCTCCTTCCTGTCTTCGTTTTGTTGCTTTGCTTCGAGTTTTTGTATCAAACCTTTATCATTATTCGCTTTCCCGTCTTTGACCTGTTTTGTTTCTTTTCTCTCTTTGTCGCTTGATTTTTGAGCGGTTTCCTTTGGTTTTTCTTGCTGTTGGTAGAATTCATCTAGAGCCTTTTCAAATTTGTTGTGGATTAAATTCTGAGGATCCTTGCCTCTCGTACGAGCCGCGAGACCACTTTCTTTGTCCTTGGCTTGTTTTTTTACTTCATTTTTATTTTCAGCATTATCACTTTTTGTTTCATCTTTGCCAGCTTCTTTTTTGTCGTCCACATTTTTGTTACTGCTTTGAGCTTCTCCGCTCGTCTCTATGGTTACATCTGGAACTTCGGTCGACCCTTCCATGTTAAGAAACTCTCCACTGGACGAATGCTCTGGTACTTCTTTGTCTTCCTCGCCCGCTGCACTTTCAGAAACCTTCTCTTGTCTCTTAAGAGTCAACTCCTGGTTGTTGCCATTTTGAGCGGCGTCTTCCAAACTTAAGACTTTTGCATGCGGTACTGAAGGGTGTGTATGTTCACTGCGATGTTTCAACGTGTTAAAAAGTATCGTAACTGATGAAAATGTCGTAATAACACTTGAAGATGGTTTTAGTGTAGTTGGGTTTGGAGCAGCTGGTGATACGGTAAGTAAGGGTGCAGTTCTGGAGATAGCCGTGGATGGCTTCAGAAGAGGTACTGAAGCTATCACAGCGGGTGAAGAAGCTGCAGCAATGGCTGGTAAGGGTACCTTTGATGGAGATGRCAGCCTTATCACAGGTGCAGAAGGGAGTACAGAAGATCCGATTGATGGAGGTATTCCCAAAGAAGCAGTTGGCTTTGCTACTATGGCAGCAGAAGAAGCCATGGGTTTAAGTGCTGGCTGAGAAGCTCCAGGCACTGCTTTTTCCTGTGATGGTAAAACAGGTCCTGAACTTATTGAAAAAGAAATAACAGGAGAACCTGAAGTAGCTGATGAAGATGCAGCTACAGGATTAACTTGTGCTGGCTTTGCTGAAGCAGAAAAAAGGGGCACTCCTAGCCCAGCAATTCCTTGTGACACGGAAACTCCTGCAGTGCCTCCAACGGATGGGCTTGGTGACTTCATCAATGGCACTTKAGGGTCATTTATCTCTTCATCGTCATCATCATCATCATTATTATCGTCTTCATCATAGCTCGACCCATCATCGCTTGATCCTTCTGATACGAACCTTCTTTCTTCCGACGTACCAAGCTTCGCAGCTGTTGCAAAGAATGCTCCTGAAAATTTATGACAAGAAAATAATGAAAACCTCTAAAATCTTTCCGTACGTGGGCGATACCCATAAAGGCCCTGGCAAACAGTTCAAACATTTGGTCCAACATTTATTCGTTCCAAGTGGAAGAAACAAAGTCATATCATTATAAAAACCTCTTTCAGATTGGCTCTGTTATAAAATTAAAATAGAATGAAAATATTTCAACAAATTTTACTGTAAAATTAAAATCGATTTTGAATTACTTAGATAACAGCTTGGATATTTAGCTAAGGCATTTTTCTTGGCACCTTTTTTTTGCGTTTAGTAAGTGCCCACGAGATTTTGCATGATAATGAGCTGCAAGTCACATAATGTACAAATCAAAATGATTCAGAATCGTATTCATAATTTTGTGGAATAAGAAATGTAAAGATGCCCACTAACGTACCTGTTGCCAAGAGAAGAAGGAGGATTGCCCAAAGGTGTTTCATTTTCATTCTTGAACGTCAACCCTCTTGCTCGCCTTGAAACAATTCAACAGGAATAGCGATACATTAATAGGTTTATTGTTTTATTTTTTTCCTTTTTCTTTTTTGCGAGTTCATTAATTACAACATCGTGGTCTGTACTCAAATTGACAATGGCTGGGAGCCAATCAAAAAGTGACTTCATTCCAATGGCTATCGTAAAATGAAATTGTCGAGTTGATTTTGTTGCAACCAAGATACTTTAGCGCCAACATAATATTACTACTCTAATGTTTTTCTTTCCTTTTTTCTCTGACCAAGAATTGTTTGCTCGTACTTTGTGGCAAATCAACTATCTCAATGATAAACGTATGAGAAATCAAACAGAGAACGACACTGACGATCTTACCTTAAAGCGGCCAGACGCTGAATGGTACCAAAACTGAAAATACTGTATCTTGAACACTAGAAGCTGAAATTCTCTACGGGTTACATCATTATAAATACCTCTTATTTCTATTGGTTTTTCATCGTTATACCCTCAAAATCTTCAAAACAATGTCCAAAATGAGGTGAACGGAACACGACAGTTCAAAAAGATTTTCCTGAAAATCTGTGATCATTTTTGGGGGAAATATCTAAGCAAACAAGTATTTGTTCAAGTTGAAAGACGCCTGTTCCTATTCTCTAGCATCTATATTACTAAGTACTTGAGATTTTATTGATCCGGATAAAGAAAGACTGTTGTAAAGTCGCTAACTTTTGGTTGTCATAACACCGGTAGGGTCACGTGACCTCATGACCTCGGGTTTGGTGCCAACACTGTCTTGGCATGTGGTAGCCTTGGCTTCACGCTTGGAAAGAGAATTCAACGGGTATGCATTATATAACATTCGTTTATACCGGTAGTGGGCTTTGGAACTTAGTGTACAAGTTACTCAAAAAGGTTTTCCTTTTATAGTATCATAGCTCTACAAAATGGCTGCACTGAAAAACTGGACTTTTTCCCATTCCATCTTCATTCCCTCCCCCATAGATTATATCTTCCATTATTTTTGCGAAATCCTCAAAATTAGTAGAAAATGATAGAGTAGTCATAACTAGAACTATGTAAAAAAAATTATTCAGAATTAGCTATTACATTTCAGATTTTAAATGGTAGCTTTCAAAAACTAAAAACTAAATGCAACCAAACTGGTCATTGAGAAAATGTGTCAAAATATAGAAAGATAAAAAGATTGTATAGAAGGATGATGGACATTCGTTCAGTCAATTCTTTCAATTCGTTCTTTTCTCTTGACATTTTGTATGGTGTTCTATTGTTTCGTCCTTGACATCTAATGTTCATGTTTCCACCAATTGTGGCACAGCATTCCCTAACTAGATGAAATCACACCTCAAACTCAATCTTTTTTTTTAAACTACCCTAACCATATAATATACCAAATATTTTATTTTACAACATACTAGGCAAAAAAAAAATTAAATCAATAAGAACGGTTTTGATGCAATGTCTCACAAGTAAAGCCAATTAACAGCAGGTTGAAATCATCGCATTTCATAGCTTGAAATTTTCGCCTTCGAATTTTCTCTCGGTTCTGTTTTCCGTCTCCTATTATTGTGTTGTTGTTTTTTCTTCTGGGGATTGTTTTTCACTCAAGACAGACAAGATTGTACTTCCACAAGACTGCTTAACATGCAGGGAACATCTTTATTCCTTTGTTTCGTCATTTTCTTCGAAATAACGGCTCTCATCGCTGGTAAGTTCAACTATTTGACCTAATAACTTTAAATATTTGATTAGGAACTCTTATAGTCAAGAAGCTAGTCTTTTCAGTAGAATAACAGTAATAAATGATAAGTTATAACAATAATGGGGAGCTCTTATATAGCGCATTTCACACTGTCTCAATGCAACCTTAAGGTTTACTCAATCAAAGACAATTATTCCAAAATGGTTCTGCTGTTTGAAAAACATCATAATATCTTTTAAGCCTAGAACGTTAACAAGCTCGAAATTTATTTACAAAACCATGATTAGAGTATTTTTCGTGGAGAAAGAAACGGCAAATTCGTAGCCGTACCGTAACTACAGCGTTGTGATTGGATGGATTACTGGAGACCGTGTACATGCCGTAACATTGAAATGGCTTCCCACCGTCAGTGCCGCACGTTTCCCACTCCTACGAAAACCGCTTTCTTCTTGCAATCATAAGTGTTTGGTAATAGTTACGAGTCGTTCTTTTTCAAGCTTGATTTAAGATTCAAGTTAAACCTAAAGGTAATTGTGTATAGGAAAACAAAATTTCTAGAAAAAAACAAAGATCTGTACTAGCAGGTCACGTGATTATTTCTCGCTATTCTGAACGGCGAATGTAAGCATTTTCAAAACTTTCCCACAACACATTTTGGAGAATAGCATTTTGGCATAGTTTGAATTTGGCGCGAAACATTCGTTGTCCCGAAGAATACTTTTTAGTGACCCGAAGGATACTTTTTTAGTGACCCGAAGAGTACTTTTTAGTGACCGGCTCTGCTTTTGCATTCAGTTCATTTATCTTGCAAGATCTTTTATCTTTTTACTGACTTGACGATTTATTATCATCTTTTCAACAGGTGAAAGGAAAACTAGAAGAGGTACGTAGACTCACTATGAAAAAATAACCACGCCATTTTGACATCGTAGCCGCCATGTTGAATAACTTTGAGAAATATTTATCGTTTGTTGAGAATGATTTGCCTTGATGTCTTACCTTTGCGTTTGTCTGCGTGACAGATTGTCGTGACACATTTCATAGCTGCGTCAGTTGGTCCAAGGCAGGAATGTGTGAAAATAATAGATTTGGGTTCGTAATGAGAGGAGGATGTGCTAAGACTTGTGGTTTCTGTAAAGGTAAATATAAAGTTATCAAACTGTTTTGTCTCGTCGTTCATTTTTGCTTCCGGTCCTTCCTTCCGGTCCTTCCTTCCTTCCTTCCTTCCTCCCTCCCTCCCACCACTGTATCTTCCTTCCATTCTCCTTTTTCTCGTTTCTTTTTTAAAACATTTATTTCTTATCTTAGTTTCTTTAGACTCCATTACAAAGACAAACGTAGAAGCTTCTGCACAAAATTCAAAATCAAGTTCTATCACTGAAAGAGACGAAAATGAGTCTTCAAAAAAACTGCCTACTCCTGTCACTCCTACTTCTATCACTACCGCTACCACTCATACAACAGGTACCACTCCTACTACCCTAACCACTCCTACTACTCAAACCACTCCTACTACTCGCACCACAACTAACACCCCAACAACCCCAACCTCTGGCACCACTCCAACTACTCACACTACCCCAACTACCCCTACAACTCACTCTACCCCCACCACGGTCACCAAACATACCACCATCACTACACCTACTACCATCACAACCCGTACTACCTACACTACTCCAACAACCCACACGACTGCTACTACCTATGCTACAAGACCAACATTATCTACTCCAACAACATCACCCACAAGGGCCTTTCCTTCTGACCTGAAGGACAAGACGAAATCAGTGAAGACAAAAAATGATGATAAAAAAGCCAAGAAGTCAAGTAAGTTTCAGAAGAGGAATTTTTCAAAAGATTTTTCAAAAACATTTTCACATTATAAACCTCAGGAATAAGGTCCTGTGTTGGAATAACTGTATTGATGTATATTCTTGAGGTCTTGTCATGAAAGAAAAGAATAAAGGATGGTTTAAAATGTGAAAACATTACACTCAATCTAAAAAGTACATTATGTAATTCTTTGTTTTTCATTTCCTACAACTCACGGACCGGTCAACATTGCCATTGTCGAAAGTATTGACAGGCAAACCGAATGGCCAACTGACTAAATAGCTAACTGGCTGGCTGGATTGCTGGCTGGCTGGCTGGCTGACAGACTGGTTCTTTTTTTCAGAATGCAAAGACCTTTTCAGCAAGTGCGAAGAATGGAAGGAAAAGAAAAACATCTGTAAGAGTCCCAAGTTTAAACCTTACATGGAATTTGGATGTGCAAGAAGCTGCAGTTTATGCAGTAAGTTATTCTTTTTCTCTCTCATCCAGCATGAAGTTTTTCTTACCAAATTACAGTTACGGTATTTTACTTCATAGACAAAATCCACTTGGTCGAAATGTTTTCCCATTTCAGACCACGTGTCATACCCTAGAGTATCGTTTCTTTGTTTAACGGTTTTGCACGTGAAGATACATGAATATGGAAACAATTTATATTGAGAATCTTATTCTCGAGAGAATGGCACGAGGTGGTCTGAAATGAGAAAACATTACGCCCAAGTGGATTTGGTCGATTTCTCACTATTTTTTCATTTTTGCAAAGGCGCATTCGACGAAGATCCAAATATAGCAAGCCTACAAGACAATGATTCGGTGAATGTGGAGATTGGTGAGAAGAAATCATCGTTGGCACTTGGTCCTAAATCAAGAACTAAGGACATTGATTCCAAGCTGAATGATGTCGTTGAAATAGGAATAGCAAGAGAAATGATCGAAGCGAATAAAAAACCCGGCAAAAAAGGACATCATTTAAGTAGCACTTTGCATGGCAAGAACAACAAAATTCCTAGAAGCAAAATCCCTCTGAAAAAGTATATCTTGAAGCAGAAAGAAAACTCTTCTTCGATAAACAACGCCAAGAGAGTGGAAATAGAGGATGGCTTCAAGTCTGATTCAAACCCTTTTTCTAACTTAAAAGAAGTTGCGAATGGCGTCGATAAGGTGGATCTACAAACTGCAGTTCTTGGATCCGAAGCTGAATTCAAGACAAACACGTTTGATGCTTTGGATAGAGATTTGCCAGACTTTGGTGGACTTGATAATGTTGGTGATGTCGAGAAACTGCTGGAGACTCCTAAACCAAAGAAGAAAATGGATTACTATGTGGATCATTTTTCAAGCGATCCGTATGAAGCTGAGAGTGAGAAGGAACAATGGTTGCAGGAAAATAGAATTCGTCCTAAACAGTACCGTAGAGAAGTAAAGAACACGGATGGTCAAGGTGAATAAACTTCATAAAGAATTAAGAATCCTTTTCCCTTAACGAAGTGGAATATCATTCTTTTTCTGTTTTAATTGTTCTTTTTATTTTTATTTATTTATTTATTATTATTATTATTATTTTGGTTGGTTTTGCTTGCTTTCTTGCTTATTCGTTTGCTTGTTTGCTTGCTCTTTTGTTTTTGTTTGTTTTGCTTGATTACTGGCCTATTTGCTTTTTTGTTTCTGCTCTTTCTTTTGTTTGCTTGCTTTTTAGTTTACTTCGTAGTTTCTTTTCCCCTAGTTATACCTGCTATTTGCCTTGCTTCGATCAATCGTTCAATCCAGTAATTATTTTTATTCCTTTCCAAGGCAAAGTACCATTAACTTATCAACACTCGTCAGAGACTTTCAATACCAAATCCAGTATACCTCAACAACGATTACAAATAAAGCAGAATAAAAAAAACATACGAAAGTTGAACACCAAAAGAGTTGAGATCGAAGATGGCTTCAAAGCGCAAAGCCGGTTGTCCAGCCTTGACGGTGTATCCCGTGAGATCAGCAAGGTCGAATCATCCAGCTCAGGCTTTAGCTCAAAGGCTAGCGACGACGTAGCTGATGAAGGGTTTGGAAGCAAGGCAGTTGAAGTGGACAGTCTGGAAAAATTACCAGACTTTGATGGGCTAAACAACAGGAAAGACGTACAAGAACTCTTTGAAACGCCAACAAACAAGAATTTTGATTATTATGTCGAACATTTCTCGAATGATCCGTATTTGGCTGAAAGTGAAAGAGAGGAATGGATGAAAGAGAATGATTCTAGAATGAAACAGTACAGAAGAAGATTGGAAGACACTAAAATGACTAAACCTCTAAAACACAAGAAAAGCGAAATAAGAAAAGGTGTAATTTGAAAGCTATGTAAATTTGAATTTATTTTTTGTAGTAAAAAACATATTTTATTCAACATAGTACAGTCAAAGCAAGGGCGGTTCCGGGGGGGTGGGGGGGGGGGGACGACGAATGGATTGCGTAGCTAGCCAACCCCTTTTATAATAAAAGAAAACAGGACACAATATGATGCCTTTCAGGTAACGGCCACTCCCTGGATCCGCCACAGCAAAGACATCACTCATGTACAGAGTGAAATATGTGAAAACTATAGTGTAAGAACGTTGGACAATTTCTCATTCTAAATTCTACTTTTACTTTAATTCTGCTTCATATGTCATACTCTGTTATAGCTTGTCGTATTCTGATTTAATCTGTTAAACACTGTATAAAAACGTGAACATACCAAAATAAAAACTAAAATTCAATACTAGGGACGAAAAAATAAAATAAATCTGCTACTTGTGGGAAATTTCAAAAAGCGTTGTAGTCCGCCGCAATCGGCGTAAGCCAGGCCATTATAAACAACAAGGATCAGCAACAGTTTCCCCATAGTTAGAGCACCTGCATTTTCACCAGCATCTACCGAGAGATTTATTCGTGTAAATCATTGTTATGTAATGACCTTCACATGACGATCCACTGAACATGTCAAACACCTGCTGGACAACTTTAGAAATGACAAATTGCGATCTAGCTTTTGACAAAAATATCTTCGTTTTTATAGTTTTTCTTCATGATGTAAGTTGTCTGGTCTTAGCTGAGTTTGTCAAAGTATTTCGAAGGTTTCTGACGAATTTCTAAAGAAAATTTGCAAATTTCAAAGATAGCATTTACTGAACTAAAGCAACGCGATGAATTTTTGGACCAGATTGGTTCTGGTAATGGCTATTTTAGGTCATTATAAGGTTACTGTGTTAAGCAAGGCAAAAGAAGGTGAGTGACTTTGAGATTGGTTTTAGTTGTTCGCTTTTAATATTTGTATTCATGTTGTTGGCTTATTGTCTGGTTGATGTAGAGCATACATATCATATTTGTAAACATTTCTATTTATGTACATGAAACATGAAACCTTGATACCTTATTCCACATGGAAGAGCCCCTTGTTCCTTCCCACGAGCCCTTGTTTAATAAAGAGAGGCGTCATTATATCTTCTAATAATTCTTTGTTTCAACAGGGTGTGGCGACACGTGTCAGAAAGAATGCCTTAGTGTACACAACGAATACCGAGCAAATTATGGAGCACAACGACTCGAGCTGGACGGCAGATTAGCCGCACAAGCTCAAGAGAAGATCGATAGAGGCGTCCTTGCTCATTCCCAGTCTATAAAATCCAAAGGAGGAGAGTCAATAGCCTGGGGATCACTCTTCCCGACATTCACATCGGCCATTAAAAGCTGGCATGACGAAAAAGTGAATTTTGATTTCGAAGATCCGAAACCCTTGAGTGAAGGCAAAGTTGTCAGAAACTTCCTTCAGATTGTGTGGAAGGGGACTCGTAAGATTGGGTGTGCCCGAGGACCTCTGTACGGGAAGCCTTGGTATGTGGTACATTATGACATTGCACCATCGCAAGGCGATGCTGCTGCCATCAGGGAAAACGTTGGCAAACCGAAAGAGGTAAGGGTGTTACGGGCTTGCGTAAAAGAATGCACGGATAAAAAAAAGGGACTTCCCAGTATCTTATATTTAATATTTGGGTGGGTAGATGGATGAGCGGACCAATGGATGGGAAAGAATGGATGGGCGAATGGATGGATAAATGAGTGGAATGATGGATGTTGGATGGATGGATGG